ATGGGATCCAGCGAAATGCCCCCAAAAAGCAGAACTGCGCCGGAGAGTATTTCAACTCACATCTTCCCTGCGCCGTGCTTGTTGCTCGGCAGCTCTTCCCGCATTCTTGTACTTGCTGAATCGTGGGTGTTCACCTGAATGGAACCATGATTTGTATACTTCACTCATGACCCCTCTACGAATTTAAACAATCAAATAAATACAACAACGAACAGAATAAATCCTCTTGTAACAAGTACAAAAGCTTGAGAACGTCACAATAATTCTCCTGATTATATTAGATTCCACAGTAAGGTGGGAGGGAGAGGGTAGCAGTTCCGATAAGGAATAGGCGGTAATTGGGAAAAGAAGAACAGCGTCATAGAAGTCAATACCCACGGTCTATTTTTCAACACGAGAGCCCCTCTTTCTCAGGCAAGAACTGCTATGGCAATGAGGAAAATTGGTCGCTCAGTACAACAGCCACCGCTGCTTCCAATAAGACACCTTTCCCTTCGATCCCAATGTCCAACTTTACCTGCTTTATCACATCCGTATTATCACTAGTTTCTTAAAAAAATAAATCGACTGTGAAGGGGGATACAGAAGGTAGAAGGATTCCCTGCACCAAGAGCGAAAACCCTGCCCAGCCGGTCAAGTACGATCTTTTACGCCGCGGACTCATGGCGTTTCGAGGTAATGGGAGGGGAGGGGGGGGGACTGAGTTGGGCTGGTGAAGGCCTGTTCTCCACCAACTGTGGAGGCCGGCAGGAAAGCACAGTCCTCGAGAACTGACTGGATTTTCTACTGCACTTTTAAAATCTGCTCTCTGAGGACCCCACACCCCACCTTGTCTGTCGATAACACAAATGATGTACCTAAGCTGTAGAAGCACACTTTATACAGATATATTGCAATTTTCACAAAACCATACCGTACCCAACGCCGTAGGATCCACCTGTGTGTCACTCAGCTGGCCCACCAGTGCGTCAATGTCGTCCATTGAAGCGCTTTGCTGACGACACCCTATTGAACATACAGTATCAGCACTTCTCACAAATAGCATTTCAATAGTTGAAATGTCGCGCGTGTCTACGCGTTGTATATCCTTACAATTAGAACCAGGCAACTCAACGCCAGGTAATCTAGAAACGAAAGAAAATGGGCGGAGCGCGTCCATACTCAACGATGCGATAGCTTGGATCGCGCGATCGGACCACTTGAGCGATTGCATCACTAAGT